GGGGGGGGGGGAAGGCTAATATTGAAAAATATATGAATCAATTAATGTTTATTCGGGTAAAATGTCAATGTATTTTATTATATACGATACCGAATAAAAAAGTCTGTCTGTCTGTCTATGAGACAAGTATGGGAAAAAGTGAAGGGGTGGGGGGGCTAATATTAGAAAATATAAGAGGACCCCCCCCCCCCCTCCGCGACCCCTGAACTTCCTCCACTAACGCCACATGAAGCAGCATTATTAAAAGAGGACAGGACAGCAGCCATATTGGAACACAGGACCGAAAAATAATTGTTCCACTATTTTTCGTGATTCGAAATACTGAGATAACACGAGAAAAGCGTACGAAACCACAACGCGAAGGAATGGTTTCTTACCCTTCTCAAGTGTTCTTTCAACATGCCAAGCTTTTTGATCAGAATATCAAACACGAAACTGTTTTATAACTTTTTTATAAAATGACAAGCGCACAAATTAACGAAAAAAAAAATACTGTTGAAATGACATGAGCATGTTGGCATATTCAGCCCAGACACACGTACGGGTTTTTGACCAATCAGAGCGCGCTTTGTTTCTAAATTATTTCCAAAACAGTTCATTCATCACACCGGACGCAGCGGATTTCTTATTTCAGTCATTCAAAACACTGAAAGCAAGCCATTTCTTGACAAGCCCATTTATACTGTCTTAAATATACGGCTATTTCAAAAAAGGTGAAGGTGAAGGTTTTGTGTTCACCAATCGCTTTTGAAATGTAGCTGTATGCCGGGTCAGGTTTCCAAGGCCCCTTCTGCTTGGATGCAGGGTCTTGAAGAACTAGGACTCTTCATGATTATATTTTTAGCCACGAAGTCAGTATCTACATCTAATTAAAAACTTACTTCAATCAAGATTGTCTTATTTCCTTATTCTTGAAAAAAAAAAAAGTTTTACGAGCGCGTTTCACCATTTCAGTTTTTCAGAGCAGTTACAAAAAATTTAAAAACGGATTCTCCTCTGGCTATTTTCTTCCGGCAACAGAGGTGTAGCCTGCGTCACATCCGTATGTGACGCAGGCTACAGAGGTTGACATAGGAAACGTTTGCGGCCAAGTTTCGTGACACGGCAAGCATAGCCATAAAAAGACTAGTTGAATCAGAATATCCTCACGACCGAAGCTTAGACACGTAGCAACTAAGGGACCGGCCGGTACATATATCTATTTTCCGGGGGTCAGAGGAGTTTTGTTAAAGCATCTAATCATAGGTGTGTTCAAGAGAGCATATAAATATATTTATGCTCTCCCGATGTGTTATAGTGCATTATAGTGTACTACTACCAGATAAAATCAGTGCTTATCTACTCAAGAGGGCCTGAAAGAGGTGTATAATCCCATTTCCCACCCCCCCTCTTATCAATCAAATAGCGGCTTGCTTATGTTTTGCTCCCATTTTTTGAGAATCAGTTGATTGCTTTTTTGTTCATGAATCCAATTTCAATAGTGTACAAAATCCCATTTTTCCAGCCCAAAAAAAGGCGAATCCCAGCTCCCATTTTACCACTTCAGTACCCTTGTAAAGATTACAGTGAGGACAATCCAACCGTTGAACACCTCGACTTTTTTGCCACTTTAAAAAACGTGCATACTGTAAATCATCCCTTGAGCCAGTCGATTGGAAATAATATTTATTTTGATGATATGATGTGTTAGGAACTGAATGCTTCATTTCAGAGGGTTTGAAACAATAGAAAGTTCAGGAAATAATAATTAATTAGACACTTGTTCACGGTTCGAGTGTTCTCTCTATGATCTCCCTCCAAGAGGCCTTGTTTTTATGATCTCCACAATAAATAATCATGGCCGATTTTTTATGCGACAAAAACTCGAGCTAAAAGTTTCGTTGCGTCACATTCTTGGCTCGTGGGGAAAGAAAATACAAGAAAAATTGGCCAATATCATTTAGAGAAGATATGAGCGAAAAGAAACTACTTTCTTCACAAGATTCAAAAGACCACAACGGCATTTGTTTTGGGACTTGTAGGTGTATTTCCTGCCTTCTAAACTGATATTCTGCTCTTTCTTACACGAAAAGCCACATGAGATATGAGCGGAAAGAACTTTTTATGAAACTACTTCCTTCGCAAGCTTCAAAAAACTGTGACGGACATTTGATTCTGGACTTTGTAGGTCTGACTAACTAGTTCTATGTCACCAGMCTATTGCGTTACTATCGTGGTGCATCTTGATATACAAACCGGTTAGGAATATGACGAACACTCCACAGCACTGACATTAATAATCGCTATGCCTGGAGAACAACTAACGTGATCAAATTATTAGCTTTAAAATTAGCTTGTTATGATCATTAAACATCCCAAGATTAGAGCAGTATTTTTATTCGCCTTCTAGACAAAAAGCCAGGCCAGGATCGCGACCCCGGAAATCCGACCAAATCCACCATACCATCAAAAGTTGCCAATTCTGCTCGCAGAAAGTATGGGGCTTTTCAAATCGTAATCAACCCTCTTAGCTGATAGGATAACCGAGTAGCGTAGCAAATAGGAAATAAGGGGATCACGTGTTCAGCTTTGCTTATAAATAAGCCAACACAGCAGAAAGGTTATTATACCTCTTTAGTTAACGAGACACTCATTTTGGTTGAATAAGCCAACTTAGAAGAAAGAAGGTCATTAATCTGAAGTTAACGAGACACGCATCTTTGTTGAAGAAGTACCGGCCAGGTTATCACCGCTGCATTCTTTCATTCATCGAGAATGAATCTCTTGGCTGGAACTTGGGTAGCGGCTTTGCTTTTGGCCTTAGCTGTACATGGAAGTCAAGCAAATGGGCTTGACCCAAATGGGTAGGTTTCTTGAGTATTAGTTTGACGACGCTAATTAGTCATTCTGCAATACTATCGCAGTATTCACTCAGTTAGAAGTCTAGCTCACGATAAATAACGTATATAAGAGGGAAGGCCGAAAGAGCCGGCAAGGAAAAGATAATAAAGGGAATAATAGAATAATGTTACGGACCATAATCTCGTTGAAAAAAGCGTACGAGGGACTAACAGTCAAAGTTAAACAAAAGAAAACAATGAAAATAGTGATCACATCTGATATAACAATTGTCACTTGTTATTCTTTCAGGACCAATGTTTGTTCGAAAGTCGATTCCGTCCTTACAGTGGACGGAGAGGTTTGCGGTGATTGCTCGCTCGCATATCCTTCACAGTAAGTTTAAAACCTACTACCCTCATGAAATCCATGGGTCGAGTCATCGAATACTGTACGTAATGAATAACTGCCTATTTTTTTGTAGGTTTGATTACTATTGTTGTCCAGGATGGTCGCAAACAGGACGAGACTGCACGTTACGTTAGTATAAGCATCTATGCAAGTGTCTGTTCATATTCCCGGCATCTTCCCAACTGATTATTAGAAATGAAAGATATTCATTTGAACCGTGCATGGTATTAATAACAAATAGTTTTAACCGAAACAAGATCTGCATTCAACGATTAAGCCAACCAACCAACCTTTGGATGACTAACGGGCTTGAAACCTTGGTTATAATTAAATAAAAAATCTTGGTTTGACAAAACAAATTATTGATACAATTTTCTTTTTATTTCTTTACATAGGTCACCCGTGTCCAAATGGAAAGGAAAACTGTACTGGTAATTAAATGAAAACTATGATTATTGCTAGCTTTTAGTTCTTTGTTTTTGCGCACGGGGTCCATGTTGCAAACAGTCTTCCGCGGCGACATAAATTGCAAGGGCGGATCCAGCCAAAATGTTAGAGGGGGGCTAATTGAGTTTAGGGGGGAAGGCTAATTGAGTTTCTTCCGTCAACACAACGGAAAACAATAAAAAAGCATCTAATTCTTCAGTTTTGTTTTGTTTTGTTTTGTTTTCTTCCCCCTGGATCCGCCCTTGAATTGGCCCATCACAGGAAGCCCATCAAGGTTATCATCAGTTAGGCCCCAATCTTGGCACTTCCTAACATTATTTTTTAGCCACGATAATTAGCTGTTTGTTTATTCTAATTTTCTGTTTAATCAATTCAGAATTTCACACCGGGATACTTCCAAAACCGACTTTAACATACAGCAAAAACTTTGCTGCGTCCAACATGGAGATGGTTTGCAGTTTTGACTTTCCTAAGTGGAAGAACGTCTCGTACAAGGTAGAATGGTTTACAAGATCAACTACACCTGCCAAGACGGACACGTGGTGTGTTCCAGGTCGACCAATGAGTGGACAGAATGATTGTAAGAGAAGAAGTAGCTCGATTTTTTCCCCATCCGACTTTAAATTGGGCGACACGGTAAGTTTTTGACAGTGATCAGTTATGACAAGTCACGATCCCTCTCGTTTAGAGTATCCCTTGAAGCTTTAGTATGGACAATGATTAATCAGAAAGATGATCTAAAGCATTAGATATAACATTATTTTTAACTTTTATTCCAAAACAGGTTTGGTGTAGATTATTTATGAAGTTTTCGACAAAGAAAACAAATGAATGGACAAGAATTGCAGAAGAAAGTAATAAACACTATATTGGAATCGAGGTAAGTAAATAATAATTAATAATAATAATTAATAAGAAGATCGGCAACTTAACCCGAAAAAGACGTGATGCACCCCACCTTCGTCAGGATATCGTGAGTTTCATGAATCTTCACTAAAAATATCTTGACTTTTCTATGACGTTCAGAACGATATGTCTCTAGTGATCCGTTCTTTTCCCCAAGACGTACATTCCCTTATGAAAAGAATTCAGATAGTGTCCTCGATAATACAAGCAATGAATTGCATGGATTGTATTATCATACGCCTTGCTTTTTCCTTCGGAATTGCCATATATTTCATAATGACGTCACATCAAAACAGTCTATTGTTTTAACGCTAAGGATCATGGTCGCCAGACATGACAAAAACGCAAAGAAAAAACACAATAAATTGCATTTACAAAGCAGAGAAGGGAGGAATAACAATAAAATACTATTAATATCGAAGGATAAACCTTGAAACCTTGACACATGACATATATGGAAACTGGACAATTTGAAGCCAAACTTTTGGAGACAAAGAAGATTTTGTCGAAATTCCCATTGTTCTCGGTGATTCTGTCCCCCATGTAAACAAGCTGTGACGTCATTATGAAATAGGACAATTACTCTTAATTCTTTGCCCGCTCACTATGTTAAAACAGAGAATCTTATCTTGCTCAGTGCTGTTTGTGCTGAATGTGTGTTTTACTTTTTCAAAAATCCTTCTTGATCTCTGGTATGAAAAGAGGAAACAATTTAGTTGTCCTTTTGTGATTACTGGTTTCTGCTCTAGGTTTCTCGACGCGATGTGACCGTCAAAGAATGTAACGTAGCAGAGAACATAACAGTTACCTTAAGACCAACTGTTCCTATTTTACCCACCGTGGGTGTCCCTGGATCTGACAGTGTAGATGTGTATGTGTTGATACCCAAAAGGTACAAAGTACAAAGAAGACAAGCTGCAGTTGACAAATGTAATGTCAAACTGAAGACAGAAGACATAACTCGTGGTCAAACCATCACAATAAGAGGAGTCTGTGACAACCAACGAGATGAAACGCGACCTTTTTATTTCCGTTTTAAACCAAAGTCTTCCAGTTTAAGTTGGCAAGGCGTGGAAAATTACCGAATGCTATCTACAAAGGTACAATATTGTTACTTGTGTAAATGTAATTTACCGGGGTTTATGTACGAAGGCTTTCGACGCTCGGATCGAACTTAATTTTTACTGAGCATTTATTGCTGAGAGGCTTCATTTAATTCCGATTTGTGATATAAAAACGTTTTATTTTTTCATAGATTGCTGTACGTAATACAGAAACRAAGCCTTGTTTGTCTACTTCTGATCCACATTTGTACACCTTTGACGACAGGTAAGGCTGCAAAATTTTGGTAAACCTTTGTTATATTGTTGTCGTCATTGTTGCTGTTTTTGTCGTTTTTTGGTGGTGAAGGGGGTGTCTTTTTTGTTCTTTTGGTTGTTGTGTGTTGGTGGTGACTTAAGGTGGTTTTGCTTGTCCGTTGCTGTTTTTGTTGTAGCCTTCAGTTTTTGATGATGGTGACAGTGGTGTCGTTTTTTGTCGTTGTTGTCTCGGTGATGAAGGTGGTGTCGTTGTTGCCTTTTTGATGATGGTGACAGTGGTGTCGTCCTTGTTGGTTGTGTTGTTGTTGCGGTTATTGTTGTTGTTGTTGGTTTGCTACAGTCTATTTTGTTGATAGTTTTTGCTATTTCGTTAGCGTGATAATTGTATTTGGAAAATAATACTGGAAGCCTAGGGTGGAACGTATCTGACCAAAAGTAAGTGCTCACTATACTTCTTGCTTTTTTTAAAGTTACCTATTCTACAACGATCTGGGTGATTATCTGATGCACCAAAACGAAGACACCAAAGTGGAGGTACTGTAAACTATATATTAGAACTAACTTACGATTGGTGAAATTTCCCATAAGAGTAAAAAGTCTGCATGTACTTCTACTGGAACCTATTAAATCATCACGGATGGTGATGTCAAATAGAAATACATGAAGTAACGTTGTGTGTAATCCACTAAGTATAGTAACAGAAATTCGATCGAATTGAAATTCTAGAGATTAAAATTCTGCGAGGCGTACTTGATAAAGTTTATTGGTAACGCAACGCATTCTTTGTTTTTGTTTGTACAGGTTCAAGTACGTCTTTGGGAATGTTCGGCTGGAGTCAATTGCGTCTGTGGTGCAGCAATACGTGAAGGAAAACATGTGATAGAGATCTCTATGTGCAACAAAAAGGACCAAGTAGGGCCCACAGTATTGAGAACTATAAAACGAAGCTCAGGAAAACTACCTAGAGGAATAGAAGTCACCCGAAGTATTAATGGTCAGTCTTTAGACCAAGAGGTAAAATATATATCGAACTAGCATCTCATATACATATAGATTTAAATATATTAATAAAATATATGAAACATACCTTGCGCACTGATTATAATTGGCTGTCTACCGGGTTTTTTATCACAACAAAGATACTCTCAGTTGCAAAAAACCGTTCAAAATTAAATATGTTATTGAAAGAAAAAATTTAAGACGGCTGCTTGTCTCTGCATCGTAATATAAACACTGTGGAAGCTGTAGAGCACTGGAAAAGCAAGAGGAACACTCGGTTATGCCTCGTGTCCTAGCTTGCTTTTCACATGTTCGTGTGCGCGCGTTTTATATATTTCTTAAATACATGTATATACATATATAAAAATATACTTTATTTTCTAGGTAACGCTGTTATCCGGCACCAGAATCTCCGTGCATCGTTCTGGAAAGTCTTTAGATGTCCGCGTCAATGCACCAGCCAGTCAGGAAAACAAGGCAGCAGTCTCAGGTCTTTGTGGTAACTTTAATGGTAACAAAGCTGATGATTTCTGGCAGTGGCGAGACGGAAAAATCGTCAACAAAGATAAAAATGCTTTCATCAAAAACTGGCGGTAAGTCATTGAAAACAACACTCTCTCTGGTTCACCTGCAGACAATATTAATGGCAGAGGTAGGCCTGAGTYATTGCAACAAAGAGTGTAGTCGTTCTATAGCGTCTAAGGTCCGTCGTAAAAAAAGAATCCAATAAAGGGATTCCACAAATTCTGATTAATTCTTTGTGAACCACACAATGATACTTGCATGGATGATCCTTGCAGACTCACTGCAGACCAAAGCTTTGCTGAAGCAAGAAAAGGCTGACGAACAAATAAGATTGAAGGAATGTTTACTAATTATCTTTTTAAAGAATTTAAAAATTCTTTACAGCCTCACGCCTGATAAAAGTCTTTTCGAGATTTCAATTGAAGAAGAAATAGAAGAAGGAAAGGAGGAAGAATCGAAATCTTGCTATTGTGGCGTCGAAGGGGAATTAAATCAAATACCAAAATGCGAGTACAACGCCAATCTTTTTGCAAAGATAGAGTCATCAAGTACAGAAGTAATTACAACGCAAATAAATGACCAGTCCAATTTTGGCAAGAAACGGTCTGTAGACGGTCACTGGTACAGTGATGACATCATTGACTACGAAGATCGCAGCTACTTTGTAGATGATCCACAAGTACAGCACGCTATGAACCGAATAAGAAGCAAAAGATCACTCAGAGTAGTGATGTCCAAACACGAAGCGCATAAATATTGTAGAAAATATATTGAGGAATCAGAAGCAGCAAGGTCTTGCAAAGGCATCTCTAAAAAGAGCATTAGGGACGCTATCAAACAATGCTCCAAGGACTTGCAGGTAAGAATGCATAGCTTTCTGACGTTGAAATCATATCTGGGTCCTTATTATCATGGCCAGGAATGGATATTAGGGTAATATCACATGAACCTGGGACACTTATCAAGGAACGACACGCATGGTCTGAAATGGAAAAACATTAGACCTAAAGAAATAAGGTCTTAATTCCCCCTTTACTGCGTTACTGTCATTTACTTAGTCTAAATCGTCTACTCTTTCAGCTCACTGGAGACAAAACATTTGCAGTCTTATCGTTTGAGTCTATGAAATACCTTTGTGAAGACACTGCATTGAAGAGCCTCTCATCGTACACTTTTACTGCACGTGGTGACTTGGAACCTCGCAAAGATTTAGCAAAAGACCTGTGTCCTTCTGACTGTAGTGGACATGGCAGGTGTAAGAATCGAACCTGTATATGTGATAAAGGCTTTACTGCTCTGGACTGTTCCATGGAAGTACAGGCAGTACCAGAGTTGTTGGGGTAAGCAATTGACCAGAATAGCAAGTTGTGACATTTCTCCAATAATTTTGGAGGGGAGGTTAATGTATAAAAAATCACTGTTGTAACTATTGAAACAAGCATGCAGAAAAAGCCGCTCAATGATGATATATTTTCATATTAACATTAATCGATAATACTGAGTAGTTAGATCTTCAAATATAAGGCTCATATTTGGCAAGTTTGGATTCAACAGTTAAAGTATCTGCTTCAAGTTCTCAGAAAGAATCGTTTTCGGGCGTTTTGCTATTATTCATGAGGCCCTAAAAACGGGCCCAATTCTTCGGCACTTTTGGAGTGCTCATGAGTCTTATGTGATTTTTGTTCATACGGCTTTTAGTATCTACAATGGTGGACTCTGTGATATACGTGAACGTCCATGTAGAAAGGCGAACCTGTTGGGACAGAAGTTCATCGACTCAAACAACCTCACGTGTCACGTCAAAGAATTCAAGGTATTTATGAACAAAGGGATACGCACTATTTAAATCATATCAGGCATTTAACTCACTTTTGCCTTGTATCTAATGAAAGGTCTTTTCAAGTTCTTGGTCTCCACGTGGAGTACCTTTCACAACACATGGAAAGATGAATGACATATTTGGTGTTAAATGCGACCTGCCTGAGCCACCGACGAGACTTGGTGATTATGATCACGAGGGGACCCCTGCTGCGGGGATTTTGGTCTCAGTTTCTAACGATGGCTTCAGAACAAGTGCACAACAATTAAGACAGCTCACTTATGATTCAAAATGTATGACGTGCACCAAATCAGGAAAATGTCAACGCAAAGTAAGTGTTACATTGTCATTCTACCTGGGTCGACTTTGCATTTTATGCAGAGCACTGTTGGACTGTTTACGGGGGCATATTGCTAGGATGGCGTCTATCTCGTGCCCTAAAACAGACACAATACGACTACAATGCCAACTTGACCCAGGTTTTCCTCAATCTCGAAACGGCTTTTATGTTTGAAAATCCGTGAACTTCTGATCTAATGTACATCGTTAACCTTTATTTCCTTGAAAACCTTAATTCTTAGCCGAATTCCTGTCTGATCAGAGGACATTGTTTTGCTGCCAACGAACCCAACCCACGTGACTGGTGCCAGCAGTGCTTACCCAGAGATGACCAGAATTCCTGGACGCGTAGGAAAAGTGAGTTGCTTTTCTGAATCCCTTATTTTCCAGTACTTTGAAACACCCCTCACGTATTTCTACCTTTGACAACCAACAGATAATCAGGCACCGACGTTTAGTAGAAAGCCAATAACGTACAGCGCCTTGCCTGGAGAAGATCTCGTGCTGCAGCTGAGAGCAACAGACCCTGATAACCGTCCTGTAACTTACTCTCTACTCAGTTCTACAGCTACTGGCCACACATTCAGTCCAGCAGGTCTACTGAGATGGAAGGTCACATCGAATGAGAAGTTCACCTTCCAAGTGACTGACGAGTGTGGAGCGTTTGATACAACAGACATGAGAGTGCGTATAGTACAATGCCCATGTCTGAATGGTGGTCAATGTGTACCCCACCCCAACCATCCACGGGGATCTGGTCTGTATCAGTGTAAATGCGTTAATGGATTCAGTGGCGACAGATGTGAGAAAACTACTGGACCTAAACCCACTAAATCTATAACTAGTAAACCTATACCCACTAAACCTAGACCTACTGGTAAACCTGGTGACAAAGGTAGGCTGGAMGTGTAAATATTTACTTTCAGTATAAAGCTTCACAATTGACCTTTTTACTTATACGGCGGCCATCTTGAATTATGGGATGTCGAGGGGGCAAACACGTAGACAAATGATAAAACATAGAGTGATGGGATTACGCTTTCAAATTATTTTAAGTCATTGGTGTTTCTCATATTGTTTTTCTTGTTGCCAATGGTGATTTATTTGATTATCTCCCAGCACCTGACGCTGCACCAAGGATCCTACACGCTTCCCCTGTCAAATACGACACCATGAGGATTACTTGGGCACCAATACCTCAAAACAAACGAAATGGTGTTATACTGGGTTACACGATCTACTATCATGAACTGTACGCCAACCAATGGAACCAACAGAGGAAACCTTGGAAATCGGCCAGAACGCCCAATGGTCACATGACCAGCATCACAGTTACTGGACTGCAGTCTTACACCGAGTATTGTGTAAAGATGTCTGCCTTTACGAGTAAAGGAGAGTATCCTCACTGGAAAAGAGGACAGTGTTACCAAGTCAAGAGTAAGTTGAAATTAGTTCTAGCAAAATAAACTTATAGTAAAAGGTAACATTCCATGGAGGCTTTCAAGGCAGCCATTTTGTGGAGAAGGAATATAAATATGCTATGTTTTTGAATAAAAGAGAAAATTTGTGTTGCCCTTTAACTCGGCAAGATCCTTGACGTGAAATAACTTACATTTCTCATGCAGTGATTTTTTCACATATCCAGCTCCCTCGCTACCTATCAAAGTTTCTGGTCGTTCTTTGCGAAGTACTGAAATTCTTCTCAAATTCGAGAAGCCTAGACGAGGACCTTCATCCACTAGAGTCCAAGTAGATTACGGAAAACAGAAAGACAGGTTGAATATGAAGAAAGCTTGCTACGGATCTTCATGCGTCATTGATAACCTTGAGGCAGACACCATGTACTACTTCAAGGTGATTGGATATGTTTACCAGAGAGGAGAGACGCCATCGTTCACTCAGATCAGGACTCTTGTTTGAGGTATGTTGAAACTTCTGTTATTTCTTTCAAGATTAAACTGAAATTCTCAGCCTATACATAAAAGGCTCCCACATGAGGACCTTAAGGAAGTAAAGGCGATGAAACAAACCATTTAACCTGATAGCCYAACTAGAGGCCTATTCCTAAGAAAACCAACCGCTGTCGCAAAACCAGCGGGCTGGAAAAAATTTTCCTAGAGAAGGGGAACGGAAGAAACAGGGAACAACAAATATGAACCAACAAACAACTCTGTGTGCCTCTTCTTTTAAAAGTTTCAGCTTTATGTGCCTACTCTTTCAAAAAGCTGTTTTCATACTACTTCTAACTAGTGCGGATTTCTATTTTTTCATAGGATCTTAAAGTACCAAACAAGATGGCTAGAGGATCACTGCTAGATTTAAGCTATCAATCCGCATACTGCAGCTGCATTTCCTACAATCCTACTGTAATATCACCATAAATATTTAAGTAGGATGTTTGTATTTTTATGCTTTTCATTTTTAAAATAAAACTTTTGAAACACAATGTTAAATGTTGTTGAAACCTTGGTAATGATGGGGAGGGTTTTTAGAACTAAAAGGAATAACAAATCTGTAAGTTTGGGCATTGGGCCAAATTCAATTTCAAGCGGTCTCCACGTAAAATTATAGGTACTTGCCGAAAAAAAGGAGAGGGGGTGTTTGGGGTGAGAAAATGAAGGACAGTCAATACTTTTTTGACCCTCTGAAAAGGGAGGAGGGTCGGTTATGAAAAATTAGCAGCGAAAAGGATAGGTTCACATGAATTTACGCTCATGTAATCATACAATAAATGGAGAGATAACTAGCTAAAAACTAGTGTGAGCAGTAATAATAAAAAGGTAAATAACACACCGTGAAAAGATGAAAAAACTTACTGACGTTTCGAACGCTAATATAATCCTTCGTCAGAGTAAAAGAGAAAGAGGTGGTAGAAAGGAGTGCATGTTTATATGATAGAATAAGACAAACCAATGAGAACAAGGTAGGCAAGGAAACAAAAACAAACAATCAAAAAATAAACAATAAATGATGGTCACATGGTCTGAAATATGCACAACAAACGACGAAGGCAAAGAGGTATATCAAAAATCTAATTCCCTTATCACTGAACACAAAAAGTGTGAGCACTGGAAAACATTTAAAATATCAATACAGATTTTCTTGCACGAAAAGGCATGATTATTGCGTTAACATGGCTCTAGGTGATATATGACAACCATTAAACTCAGACACGTTTCCACTTTTCCATCTTCTAAGGAATAACAGCACATGTACTATTCAGTAAATGCGAGAATATCATAGCATACCCAAGTAAGCTGAGAAACTCTGTAAAAAGTTCCATGTTCCTTGTTAGGGATTTTTTCCAAGCAAGCGTAAAAGTCTCACGTTTCTCACTGTTCTCACGCCCGTACGTAGGCGTGCCGTAAAATTGGCTGCCATTGGATTACATATTTTCTCTGCTAGTTCTGCTCACTTCTTCATTCAAGTAGTCTCGGCTCATTTTCAGCATTTGGACCTCATTCAACTTTCCTGAAAACATTTATATACTTTGGTGCCAAAAAGCCGTGAAGTGATGAAAGGAATGTGGTTTAGATATAGAACGTGCCCGCCACATACTTTTGATCAAGCATAATAATAAGGCATCCAAGACATATCAAATAATTCTAATTCAATCTATTTTGGTCTTGTGGTGGAAGTAATACAGTATTGAAGCATTTTTAATCATGATGATGAACATGGATACGATGATACATGGATTCTGACCGAGTTCGTTATGGTAGCCATGTGGATTGACAAAACTGTACAGCTCCAAAAGAAATAAGAGTAAAAACACTTTTCATGGGCGCTTTTATCTGAGCTGTTATGCACCGAGGAAAATGATGTCAATCATGTACCTCGATCAGAAATAACATTCAGGATTGAAAATCATATTACGATGGTGACTCATATACATAGTGATATTGATGAAACATGATGGCGATAATAATGATGATGATATGTAAGCTTGCTTATACCAATAACAAATCACGCTGCAAAACCTTTCACTTCTTGAACGAGTCATACAGGTCATATCATTACAACCTAATACATTTACATACAGAGCATAAATTTTTTTTTGCATTGTTTTTCAAATAAAGCATATTTTTTTCAGAGCTAAATCATATTATTTAGTTGAATATTTTCAATGGAAATTTTCCTAAACATCTTCATAATGAAATAGATGAAAGAGACTTCTAGTCTATTTCAAGCTATAGGTTGCTATTCTAACTGGCATCTACGATCATAGGAAGGAATATTTTTTAACACTGTCAAATTTAGACTAGACTAGAAGTTCCCGAAGACAGAGAGTATGAGCTTATGGCTTGCCAATTCTGCCCACAATCATTGTGTGTATCGCATTTATTACTATTGTCTGTCAATAGCTAAGTGTCAATAGGTTCAAAGGTTTGCTAGAAAAGCAGAACATCACTTCAGGTTCTACATTCAGTATACTTCACAGCTCTCTTTCTCTACTATGTCCATGTAGGTAAGTCAAGGGTCCTAGATATCGTCTTGTTGTACGTTTTAGGTTTTAGTATATGTATTTTGCTGAATACCTTTGCAGACAAAATATTTGTAATTTCAATAATATGTTCGTTTTTGTATGCCAAGAAGTTTTCAGTTACGATTAACGAAAAAACGCCTATAAACTTTCTTTATGTGAAAACGTATTTGGAACAGCAAAATAATTCATTATATATACAATCTATTGTCTTAGACATGAATCAGTCAAGGAAAATATTCTTGGGAGCATTGATTTTCCTCTTGGCTTTACATGACGGTGCAGGAACTTGTCCGAAGGCATTGGACCCAAAAGGGTAAGTACATTAATATATTCGTTCTTTTAACGGCCGAAGTCAGAAAAATCTTCAAGAACGTGGCGTTGTAATTTTTAGCTAGTTAAAGGTGCGGGGACACAGTATTTTGGACCATTTTCACACCTTTTCCGAATATATGCATAACTTATGAAGGATGCAAAGGAGGCGCCTGCGACTCCAGGAATTAAGTTTGGTTCAGTGGTTGCACCTATGTTCAAACGGTGACGTAGAATCCAATTAAACTCTGGAATTATTGCAGGCAATGTTTGAATGCAACAAGTTTCAGGGCGGCGGATAGACCCTGCTGTAGTCTCGTTGCGTGTACTTAAGGCTGCGGTTCACCAGGAAGGGTTGTTCGGACAGAGCCATAGCCTTGTGAGCCCCCTGTTGTGGAGAGCAGTAAGAAAGTGATGGTTCAATAGAATGATCATACGGGTCTGACACTACATAACGACTTCTGGCATACGAATCGCGAGCTGTGCATACTTATTTATAGGAAGGCTTGGCTTGACATTCAGATCAAAACATGAGTGGTACATGTACATATGGATAGTCATGACACCCCTCCTGGCTTCCCGATTGGTAATTTCAAATTATTGCTTTTTGTGATGCTGAGAAATATCCATATAAGTAATTGATAAATACCTCAATGAGYGATTGACATTTCTTTGCAATCTGATTGATTGACTGATTTTCAGTTCACTCTGAAGACAGATGAAATATAGTGATACAAAGATGGTGGGTGATACATGATAAAAACAAGGGAGACCTAATGGTATATTACTTATCTTATCTTAGGGAGAACGTTTGCTTTAATGGACCAAAGGATGCTTTTTTACTAAAGTAAGGATATGGCATGCAATAACCTGATGACATTAAACTCTTTTCCAGTATTTCTTAGTTCTATATATGGTAGAGCACTGAGAGCTACGACCAACAAAAATCACAGGCAGTTAAACATCAATATGTTTGTACTGAGCAAAGTAGAAAAAACTACATACTATTACATCTATGAATCGTAAAGGTAGTGCACTCTCATCACTCTCCTCTCACCACTGGGTTCTTGTGTTCGAATTCCTGGATTTGGCAACACATGTGAGTAGAGTTTGGTAGGTCTCTCCCTCAATTTAAGGGTTTTCAGTGCGGTTTTCCTGTCTCCGCAAAACCTAACCCACTAAATTCCGATTCTATCTTGACTTAGCTGTGTACATAAGCCATTGCGAGGTTGAGCAAAAAACTGGGTCGAGTTGGCGTTACAGTGAGTTTTGGGGCTGCTTTAGGGGACAATACAGCCCATCTTGAAGATATGTCCCTAAAACAGCCCCACAATACACTGTAATGCCAACTCGACCCAGTTTTTTTCTTAGCTTTGGATTGGCTAACAAAGACAGTGCATTGTTTCTCATTTTAGATACTTTGGTACATATGAGTGTTGTCCAGGATGGTTAAGAAATGGTAGCGGAAAATGCTCGATACGTATGTAACGTTTTATTTAAATTATTAATATTATCAATAATTGTGAAATTAAAAGTTTAGCAAGTCGTGTTATGCTCCTTTTCTTATTCTTATCTCCTACCATCTTTCCTGCCTCCTTTCATTTCGTCAAACAATCATCAAATAAATATGCAAGCGTTCATTCCTTTATTCTTTCCCTTTATTCTTTTTTCTATACAGCCGTTCTCGCAGTCCCCATGTGACATCCATTGAACACTAACCTCGTTTTAATTTTTTCCATTAATAGGCAATCCCTGTCCAAATGGAATAGAAAAGTGCACTGGTAATCCAGCCATTCTCGATTTTATATTTTTACCTCTTATAAAAAACACTGATAATTTAATTTTCTAACCTTTTTTCTTGAATATTACATCTAGATTTCAAAGTCGAGATGGTTCCAAATCCAACTGTCACATACTGTAATAACTCAGCTGCGTCCGACTTGGAGATGGTTTGCAGTTTTGATTTTCCTGAGTGGAAGAACGTCTCATACACAGTTGAATGGTATAAGAGAGTGGTGGGAAAACCCAAACCTGTCAAGACTGACACGTGGTGTGTTCCAGGTCGGCCAGCGAGTGGTCAGAATGATTGTAAGAGAAGAAGTAGCTCGATTATTTCAGGACCAGACTTTCGGTTGGGCGACACTGTAAGTAAATCATGAACGGATTTTTAATGTTTTTCAACTTTTTCTAGATCACACAAAGAAGGCAAAAGAGAACGTTAAACAGGCATTAATATTTAATAATTACAACTTATCAGCGTGGTTCACAGAATAATTTATTTTCTATAATCAATGCTAAGTGATAAACCGAGCAATCTCTTTTTTTTTTCTGGTCAAAAGGTTTGGTGCAAACTTTTCATGAAGTTTTCCACAAACAAAACAAACAAATGGTCAAAAACTGGAAAAATAAGTAACAAATACTACGTTGGAATAGAGGTGAGCGACGAATGAAATAAGGCACCCACACGATTGTCAAGGCATACATATATATAGATTACTTCATGGTTAGTGAGCGCGTACGGTTTTTATTCACGAGTTGTGAAGAATCAAACCATAGTTAACTATGATCAAACGAACGAGCGAGTCTTCGAGCGAGTGAGTTTGATTCTTCACAACGAGTGAATAAAAACCGTACAAGCGAACTAACCATGA